ATTTAAAAAAATTAATGTGACCTTGACCTGACCTTCGCTACGCAACCCAAGGTCAAACTGATGTGATCAGTAAATACATCTTTTTAAACGCCACAACTTTTGTCTGAAACATTTTTTTGTAAAACTTATATTTTTCCTGATATTCGGGCGTCCCGGTACTTTCCGAACACCCTGTATATATATATATACATGGGGCATTCTTTGTCAAATCTGACACCCCCTGTCCAAAATTTGGGGCAACCAAAAGATTTTTTTCTTGGGCTTATTTTATAGCTATATAAATGTGCTTTTGTTTAAACCTTGGCCTCTTTAAAAAAACAATATGACGGACCCAACTCTTATAGAAATATCATACTAAGAATCATTGACAATTACTTATTATCCAGTATTTTTAATACTGAAAATAAGTAATTATCAATGATTCTTAGTATGATATTTCTATAAGGGAATACGGCGGTCAAAATCTAAGGAAAACGAATTATAAATAGTGAAATCACTAATAAAAATGTATTTTAACCGGTTGCTATTTTCAGGAAATCTAGTATTATAATGTTTTTCTAGTTGCTGATAACGAATTTGTAATCAACATATCAAATTTCAAAGTAGTCGGATCCAATATGGCGATTAAATGGCGACTAAATGGTACGAAAATGGTAAAAAATAATGATATTGTTAACTGAGACTTACACTGTAGGTTCAATGTTCATTAATTTCAGTGTTGTGTTTCTTCAATCACTGATTTTAAATCTATGATGACAAATTTCAATATGACTGATTCAATATGGTGGCCAAGACGATTTAATAATTGCGAAATTCTGAATTAAAAGTAACGACTAGTTCTAATTTTCGCTGATAACGAGTTTGTAATCAGTATATTAAATTTTAAAGTGATCCAATATGGCGGCTAAATTCTACGAAAATGGTGAAAAATAATTATATAGTTAACTGAGACTTACACTGTAAGTTCAATGTTCATTAAATTCATTTGCAGCGTTTCTTCAATCGCTTTTTATTGAAAATTAGTATTATGGTATTTTCTTCAGAAAATACGAAGTAATGGAACCGAGATTATGAAGTTTAATCATATTATTAAGCGTTTTCGCAACATTTAGCCGCCATATTGGCTCCAATCATTTTGAAGTTTGATATTCGGATTGCAGATTTTTGACTAGCGATACACTGTAATACTAATTTTCATAAAAATTAGAACTAGTCGTTACTTTTAATTCAGAATTTTGCAATTGTGAAATCTTTTCCGTAAATCTTGGCCATCATATTGAAATGTGACACTGTCATCATAAATTTAAAATCAGCGATTGAAGAAACGCTGCAAATGAATTTAATGAACATTGAACTTACAGTGTAAGTCTCAGTTAACTATATAATTATTTTTCACCATTTTCGTAGAATTTAGCCGCCATATTGGATCACTTTAAAATTTAATATACTGATTACAAACTCGTTATCAGCGACTGAAAAAACACTAATATTAGATTTTATAAAAATAGCAATCGGTTTTAATTAGTGATTTTACTATTTATAGTTTGTTTTCCTTACACTTTGACTGCTGTATTGGGTCCGTCATATTGGTTTTTTAAAAAAGTTAGGGTTTAGATACAAGTACATATATATAGCTATAAAATGAGCCCAAAAAGAAATTTTTTGGTTGTCCCAATTTCTGGACAGGGGAGGGTGTCATATTTGACAAAGAATGTTCCATATATATACGTTTATGTATAAAATACTATAAAATACTATCGACTGAATAACAAAATTACAACATTCTTGTGTTTGTGAGAAAATAGCTATAATATAACATCAAATGACAATAAATAAAATACATACATACATACATAATACACTCTATTTCTTTTCGTTTCAGAATGTACAACTTGAAAATTTCTCGACAAGCTGGAACAATGGTTTAGCATTCTGTGCGTTAATACATCACTTTAGACCGAATGCTTTTGATTATAACTCTTTACGTCCGGAAAATCGCAGGAAAAACTTCGAACTTGCTTTTACAAAAGCCGAGTAAGAGATCTTAATTTCTTCTTTCATATCAATGCTATCATATCTGTTTGAAGAATTTAATCCATTTGACATAGTTATTCTTTTCGTTCATGAATAATTGAGAGCTCTTTTTCTCGTTTTATTTTTTTTTTTTTTTTATAGCGAAGTCGCTGGAATTGCACCATTACTTGACGTCGAAGACATGGTGATGATGCAACGGCCGGATTGGAAGTGCGTCTTCACATATGTCCAGTCTATTTATCGTCGATTCAAGGACGAAGACTAGTGATTCACTTTAAACGCAGCAACACAGCACAATTCCACTTTATACTAACGTAGAACGAGACCGCTATTTGTAGAACGTTATTATCTGTTTAATACACACATGGTCAGAGATACACCTGGTCATAAACAATGTTTTTTTTTTTTAATAACAAGATTGGTTATATTTTTAATAACGAGATTGGTTCTATGATATTATATGTATTGAATTTGATAATTTGTATAGATATTCATAGATTTGAGGACAATGTCTTCTAATGATAATAACGTATGTCATTGAAATCAGTCTTATGAGAAGCTACGCAGTCGTACGCGTTATATGTTTTCATATCTCGCGTCGTTTCTTGACACACAGCTTTACTAACATATAACAATTTTCTATCTATGTTGATGCAGCAACTAATAATTTTCACGAATGTATGATTGAAAGCCAAGTGTAAGCGAAACACAAAATCGCTGCCAAGTGACGTTAACGTCAATGCTATTAAATTAATTCAATATTTTGAGTACCAAAGATTTCTTCAATAAATATATGATACGAATATAAGAATTTCTTAGTTATTCTCTTGCCCTATATATAGTCGACAGACAATTAAAATGATATTAAGCAAATTATTTATTAATAAAAATTAATTGTTTAAAATTTTACAATAAAACTTTAGTTATATAACATTTTATTTTCAAAACAAACGTTTCTATTGCTATTCAAGTAATTTTATTGTGAGAATGAAATAATAAATTAATAATATATACGAGGTCTGTCCAATAAATACGCGAACTGAGTTACTTGGGTGACCTTGAGAGGATGTTTGGTCATGCGCCCTGACTGCTCTGTTGGCGGGGGACCCAATGGAGCGTCAGTAACTGTCAGAACGCCGAGGTAAGCGTACAGCGAGAGATGGGATTTTTTTGTGGCGCCATTATTTTTCTCTTGTCGACCAAATTTGTGTGACGGTGATGGATGGTTGCTGCATCAGGACAATGCGCCTGCACATTCAGCAGTGATTGTCCACGAATTTCTGGCCCGTAATTCGATCACTACGCTATATCATCCTCCCTATTTACCAGACTTAACCCCATGTGATTTCTTTTTGTTCCCGAAATGCAAAAAGGTCATGCGAGGGCGGCACTGGGACGACGTGGAGACTAAAACGTGAAACGACGAAGCAGCTGAAAAGCCTGACTTCTGAGGACTTTCAGGGATGTTTTAAACAATGGAAACATCGATGGGACAAGTGCATTGCTTCAAATGGAGGCTATTTTGAAGGGGATAAGATTGATGTACACTAAATTTTGTAAATAAAGTTTTTATGACCTCAGTTCGCGTATTTATTGGACAGAACTCGTATGTATGTTGAGCTAAGTAAATACTAAATTAATTTCGTTGGAAAACTTAAATATTTATAATGTTAGTATGTACAATAACATACATTTATATATATATTTTTTTCTAATTTTTGCAAAGATTGCAAAAATCTTAATTTATTTATAATATTTTTCTAAATTGACATCTTATTTAGTAATATGTAAGTTTCAGTTTATCAGAATTTGTAATATATGTGTCTCTATAATATTAACAAGCGATGGACATACAAATGTTCTTATTATTAATAGGAGATAGATGTATGAACGTTTTTGTTATTGATGAACGTTCTATATAAGGTGTAGTAAAAAGAAATCCATTATTTTTGCATGAAATTGAAGGCTTTATTTAGCATAGTTAGAATGATCCGATTTAGGTCAAATATGCACCGTTTTGTTCGATAACTTGTTGTCAATCTGAAGGTAATTCCATTATACCTCTCTCATAGAAACCTCCTTGTCCCTATTGGCAAAAAACTGGAACAGTCGATTTTCACAAGCTTCACTTGAGACGAATTTTTCACTAGCAAAATCATTCGCCATAAACAGGAACAGGTGGTAATCACTTGGTGCCAGGTCCGGACTATAAAGTGGATGCATAAAAACCTCCCAACCAAGCTCCCGGAGCTTCTGGCGAGTCACTATCGATGTGTGTGGCCTGGCGTTGTCCTGATGGAACACAATTCCTCTCCTATTGGCCAAAGCTGGCCGCTTCTGGACGATTGATTCCTTCAGACGATCCAATTGTTGACAGTATAGGTCCGAATTAAGAGTTTGGCCGTAGGGGAGCAGATCATAGTGGATAATTCCCTGCCAATCCCACCAAACACACAGCAAAGCCTTCCTGACCGTCAATCCTGGCTTGGCCACTGTTTGCGCCGGCTCACCGCGTTTCGACCGCGACCGTTTTTACTTGACGTTGTTGTAAGTGACCCACTTTTCATCACCAGTCACCATCCGCTGCAGAAATGGGTCGATTTTGTTGCGATTCAGCAGCGATTCGCAGATGGAAATTCGGTCCATGAGGTTTTTTTGCGTTAACTCGTGTGGCATCCATACATCGAGCTTCTTTTTGTATCCATCATTCAAGTGGTTCCAAACGGTTTTTTGTGCAATGTTTAGCTCCTGGGCAATCGAAACAGTGCTTACATGACGGTCGGACTCGACGATTTCCATTATTTTATCGACATTTTCGACAATTGGCCTTCC